GCCCAGGATATTCTGGTTCAGTGGGACAAGGAAGACTTGGAATCTCTATTGCCGAGAAAGAAACTCTTTAAGTTGCAATGCTGCCCAGCCTGTTTTGCAAACCATTGCTGTAGTCAGTTTCTCTTTTATCTGTTTGAAGACCTTTTCCATCCCCTATGTTTCATTTGGCATATCGTCAGTAATTTACTTTTATATAAAATTAGAAAGGTAGGCAGTGGAAAACAGAAAAATAAAACTGTTCCGGTACTTAGAAGCCCTGTGTTCTTTACTTGATATAGATGAAATGGGCAAGGCATTATTTATCCATTTTACTATCTGTAAAATGGGCCATATACTTCAGTGGAGCGTGAGAACCTGTAGACATGAGTGCTTTGAACTTTCAAAAGAAAAGATGTGTGAATTGAGCTTGTTTTTACAACCTTGTTGTAATATCCTTCCTGTTAAAATGTGTTTTCCTTTTCGACATAAAACCTGGTTCTCATGGAAAACTTACCCCCTGCACTTTCTGTTTCCTTTGTACTTTATACCTATCCCCACTCTTCTCTGTGTTCCTACAGTTCTCCAGCACCTGTACCATGGGTGGTTTTGCCTTGGTCTGTTGGTTCATGAGGTCCTCTCTGGGCAGATCAGAGCAGCTCCTGCTGAGACCTGCTAGGAGTCAGGGAGTTGTCCTTTGTTTGCTACAGGAACTTCAAACTAGAAATCCTAGAAGACTCAGACACTTTGTCTCAGGGTGTGATACCCTGTGATGAACTCATGTTTTGGGCAGGGCCCTAGGACCTTATATAATAGGGAGGAAGTACTAGTTAAATCATAGGTGAAGATTATGTAGCTGTAGTATCTACTGATTCTGCAGTCTAGAAATATTCCTAAGCCACCCCATCCCTTCATCTTTATTCAGACTCAGTAGATATTAAAGCAACATAATCTTAATTGTTTCGATATATTACTAGATATTCCATGTTTTAAACAACTTTAACATTCATACATTCATAAAACATCCTCACCTCCCAAGTTTTTAATAAAACACAGGTAATACCCTTACTGTCTTTGTTATTTAGAATCTGAAGATACTGGGTCTGACTGCTATTAATGAAAAAAGGGTAAAGCTTGTCAATTAAGCAGTAAAAGGCTAGACTGCTCATTCCTTCATGTCATTGAACACCACCAGAAGAAGCAGAAAAGCATAGAATATATGCTACCTGGCCATGCCCTGAAGCAAAGGATCTTCTAGGATATAAGCTTGGTTTTAAAAATGCTTTTTGTCATGGTTGAGGTAAATGGAGGAATGGCAAAGAATGATACCAAAACACGAATTTGTAAGTTTAAACTCTTGTAGAAACAGTACAGAATATGGATTCACAAAGAAGAGAGGGGCTTTATTTAATTTTAGGATTTATACTGGTTAACTCTCACTTAATATGCACAAGAATCCTATCAAGAGACAACTTTATTTTCATTGCAGATGAGAAAACTGAGACAGGTTCGGTAACTTATTCAAAGTTATTTACGTTGTAGAATACAGAGCCAAAGTTTAAAGCTTAAGTATTCTCCTTAAGAGTCTACACTCTTGGGCTGGGTGCAGTGGCTCACACCTGTAACTCCAGTGCTTTGGGAGGATGAATCATGAGTTCAGGATTTCAAGACCAGCCTGGCCAAGGCCAACATGGTGAAACCCATCTCTACTAAAATTACAAAAAATTTGCTGGGCATAGTGGCTGGTGCTTATAATCTTAGCGATTCAGGCTGAGGCAGGAGAACTGCTTGAACTCGGGAGGCGGAGGTAGCAGTGAGCCAAGATCGTGCCACTGCACTCCAGCCCTGATGACAGAGTGAGACTCCATCTAAAAAATAAAAATAAAAAATCTACACTCTTATGTGTGTTTGGTTGTTATACCAGTAAGAATTGATAGTATACCATTTGAAAATAATTTTGTTGTGTGGCCCACAAGAATTTTGTGTTTCTTTTTGTATATGTTGATCCTTTCTCTTCCTTGTCACCCTTGTATTTACAGTCTTAATATCTTGAAATAGAATCACTGTAATCCTTTGGCATTTTATTACTGGAGTTACCAGTTTTGGTAGAAGTGTCAGTGGTAATTTATAGTATTATTTTATAGGCTGGGATCTCATTAGAGATTTCAAGCAGAGATCTCACCATGTCACAGAACCAAAACATGCCAAAGTGGGCAGTGAGTCCATTATAAACATCTTGGGGTGAAAATCAATCATAGCTCACTAAGTGCTTTCATAAGTTTTTGTTGTTTTGATTTCCATGACTCAATACATTGTGTAGAATATATTCAGTAGGGTAATTTTGGATTTATATGTTTATCTCCCATTAGTTAAACTAGAATGTGTGTGTGTGTGTGTGTGTGTGTGTGTGTGTGTGTGTGTTTTGTTTGTTTTTGTTTTTGTTTTTGTTTTTGTTTTAGAGACGGAGTCTCACTCTGTTGCCCAGGCTTGAGTGCAGTGTCGTGATCTTGGCTCACTTCAGCCTCCTCCTCCCAGGTTCAAGCAATTCTCCTGCCTCAGCCTCCCGAGTAGTTGGGATTACAGGTGCCTGTCACCACACCCAGCTAATTTTTTTATTTTTTTAGAGACAGGGTTTTGCATGTTGTTCAGGCAGACCTCGAACTCCTGACCTCAGGTAATCTGCCCGCCTCTGCTTCCCAAAGTGCTGGGATTACAGGCATGAGCCATCGGGCCCAACCTAGAATGTGGTTTTGATAAGAAGCTTTTGTAGATGAGATCCATGAGGCTCTAGGTCCTAGATTTTAGGTATTGTCTATTGTATTTTATATTCTTAATCCTGTTTTTGAATTTTCCAGCCTTGATATTGGTGGCAAGATTATTCCTCTTGGTCATAACCATCTTCACCTTAAAGATTAGGCTATTTCCACTTGAGAAAATTACTTTTACTATTGTGCTTTTATGGTCAATTCATCCTACCATTATTTGCCATTTGTTGTATTTATCTTTACTACTTAGACAATCAAATAAATAGGAGAAAATATTGGAAATAATCTTCTGTAAAAAGTAAATATCCATATTTACTCAACAAAATGTAAGCTCTTGTGTGCTACATTAAACACTCTCAACAAATAACTTGAGATTTTGTTACATGTTTTACACCTTTGAATTTTGCTTCTGTAAAATAGAAACATTCTTTTGGAATTTCAGCCATCTGGCATGTCTTACAAAGGGATGAAGTTATTGATAAACTATTACAGTCCCAGAGTAATTAAAACATGCATTTGAGCACCTACTCCCCAGCTGATTGCTTTCCTTTACCTTTGAAGAGATCCCCTATTATCCGTACCATGATCTACAGAATTCTAGATAAACCTTCAAGCTTGTCAATTGACATACACCCCTCATTTATTCCTTTAAAACCACAATGTCCTCTTTTCAGTGTCTCAGACTTGCTAGAATGTGGTTTCCTTTCCTCTTCCTCATCCTCCAAGGATAGCTCCTTTTCGCCCTTTGATTCCATGTATCTCCCTCAGAAAGTCCTTCCTGATTACCTATGAGGCCTTTTACCCCAATTACCATCCATTTCATTCTTAGGTCATATCACTCTTCATACTTACAGACTTATAGTCATGTGAAACGTCCTGTCTAGTCATTCCTGACTAGACTCTAAGCACCAGGTGGGCAAAGACTATGTATCTTTTATTCACCAAAGTGTACCCAGTGCCTGGCAAAGAAATATTTTGATGATTATCTAAAATTACATATATGAATATGTATCTTACAGTATCTTACAGCTTTAAGTAATAGCTCACAAAATTTATTTTGTTACTTTAAGTAGGTAACTCATAGCAAGTTATATCAGGATGTAGAAAGTGTTTTCCCGATATTTATTTAAAGAGCCATACACAGCTTTTATAGTTAAACAAAATATGCCTTATTCCATATCACTTGTGTATCTTTCGGGTATGCTTTTTATACAATGCTAAACTTCTTCTTTATCAATCAAATGTTTGTTCTAATGTAGCAGTTACTCTTCTCTCTTTAACAGCAGAAGATGCTATGGAATTTGATAATAAAATTGTCTTGTCTTATGCCATTTAAAAAGAGAACACACCACACAGACGCGCACGCGCGCGCGCACACACACACACACAAACCGTTATAATGAATATATTTGTAAGGCATCTATCATAGTGTTTCTCACTCAACAGACACTCAATTTGTTGAATGTCTATTATGTTCTCATAGATGGATAGAATTCGTGTAGAGAAAAATCTTGGGTTATAAATGCACTTTATTTTCTAGATTTTACAGATCATTCAGCCATAGTTAATTCACTAAATGGATTTGAATTTGATGATACAAAAGAACACTTTATTTATTTTTAAAAATTATTTAATAATTTGATAATGATTTATTTTATTTTTAAATTTAGTTTCTTTTAATATATGAAAAAGCTATACAAAGGGCTTCAGCATTAGAAATTGAACTGCATATACAGGGGAAAATGCTCAATTTAGTTTAAATAACAGAAAGTGAAAGGGCATTTGAAATCAGGTGTAAAAACACAAGAATATTGACTTAAATAAATAATTAATGATTATCCATCAGGGTAAAGTGCATCTATCAAGGTAAAATGAACGGAGTGGGGCATTTGACAATAATGCAAACTAACCAGTTTTAATGCTAATCACCTGGAATGTATGTGCACAAGCATGAGCAGAGTGTGTGCATGCCTGGTGTGTGTGTGTGTGTGTGTGTGTGTGTGTGTGTCTGTGTGTGTGTGAGAGAGAGAGAGAGAGAGATACCTATTACTGCTAATATAACAAGGAAACTTTGCATTCTTTATATAGACCTGAAATTACAGTTAATTACATTCCAGATTTGGGTGTTAAGAATATTGCATTTCTTTCTATCTACTACATTGCCAGAGTAGGTAGCAAATTCAGGTGCTGAAAGGCTATTAAAAATAAAACAACTCTTCAGAACGCTGTCTTTGCAATGACTGTTTTCTTCTTCTTCAGGAGAGCACACAGCTGCTACAAATGCCGTCAGTGCAGTTTTACAGCTGCCGATACTCAGTCACTACTGGAGCACTTCAACACTGTTCACTGCCAGGAACAGGACATCACTACAGCCAACGGCGAAGAGGACGGTCATGCCATATCCACCATCAAGGAGGAGCCCAAAATTGACTTCAAAGTCTACAATCTGCTAACCCCAGACTCTAAAATGGGAGAGCCAGTTTCTGAGAGTGTGGTGAAGAGAGAGAAGCTAGAAGAGAAGGATGGGCTCAAAGAGAAAGTTTGGACTGAGAGTTCCAGTGATGACCTTCGCAACGTGACTTGGAGAGGGGCAGACATCCTGCGGGGGAGTCCGTCATACACCCAGGCAAGCCTGGGGCTGCTGACGCCTGTGTCCAGCACCCAGGAGCAGACAAAGACTCTGAGGGATAGCCCCAATGTGGAAGCTGCCCACCTGGCGCGACCTATTTATGGCTTGGCTGTGGAGACGAAGGGATTCCTGCAGGGGGTGCCAGCTGGTGGAGAGAAGTCTGGGGCCCTTTCCCAGCAGTATCCTGCATCGGGAGAAAGCAAGTCCAAGGATGAATCCCAGTCCCTGTTACGGGTAGGAAGGTTTCATTTTCAAATAATTTATTTGTTTTGAAGGGCCAAAGCAGGACCACACATTCTTTCTATATAGGATTGTGTTGTGTGTGAAGTGAACCTTAATGATCTGGCCCAATCTGGGGATTTATCCTCCTAAGGCCAAAGTGGCAGCAAGTAGCTCATGTGTGTTTGTGTGTGCTGTGCACTTACTTGGTACCGTGTTAGACAGTCACTTGTTTGTCTTTGCTCTTAGCTCAGATTGAATGTTGGTTAATCATTCCTGGTGATTATGCAAAACAACAAGGCCATATTTGGAGAAGGGAGGTTTAGAATCCCAGAAGGATGCACATCTGTTACATTGAAATAACTAAATGACTTTTAAATTTTAAGCTGGTATGACAGTATATGGTTAATAAGGAAGTCAGCAGAGATTTAAATCACTAAGAGTATAATGTCCTTGATGAGATGTTCAAAAATATAGTGTTTTTTGTTAAAAAAAAAAAAAGCCATGGTATAATTATGTACAAATGACAATGCTTGTTGTTGTCGAGTGGCCAAGAAGAGTGGAAAAAATGAGAAAAGCCTAAACATGAATAGTGTGAAAAGCAGCCAGAGTACCATGTATTTTACATGAACAGGATCTTTTAGGGGGAAAGACCTAGCTCCATGTGGAAAAAGAAAACAAAACTTCTGAGTAAGGTAAGATCCTCGATTACTCTCTTCATACTATGTAGACTCAGCATTGTTAAAAAAAAAATCTTAGATTTTGAAAATTTATGAGCTCCCAATAAGTAATAGTTGCTGGATGTCTGAGGCACCACATCTTGGACATTTTACCTTAACTCTGTGAAGGTTTTGAGCTTTCTGGATGATTTTGAAGCTTTGTTTGTGCATAGAAGGTAGGATCAGAAACTAGATACCTTTACAGAAGATCCAGTTAGGAAATAGAATTCTGTTAGCCCAGTGCTTTGACCTGTGAGTCAGAGACGAGTGAGTTCTCTCTGGATGTATACAGGGGAGAAAAATTGCTCTTCCCAATGTCTGCTTGGCTGCTCTGCTCTCATTTCCTGCAGATTCTCTGAAGCCTATCTGTACTTCTCAGTATTCTCTAACAGAGTTGAAAAACGCCCCTTAGAGGTGCACAGTTAATTATAAAAGCTGTTACCTTTCCCATCTGTAGTCATGCCCTGGAGCTAAGAGAAGGGCTTGAATACAGAAGAGGAGATGCCCCTGTACAGTGAGAAACAAAGAATCCTTCCTTCAGGGAAGAAGCAAGTTTATTATGAGTAACTTCTTAAAAAAGAGAGACAGTTTCTGTGCGCTTCAAGAGGGGGTTCAATTTAGGGAACTCCCTTCAAATAAATATACATGGAGCTGCATTTTTATAATTGTCAGTATTTGTTTTCTTAGCATGTCATTACTCTTCTGGCATCAAGCGACTTATGGCTTCTGGTTATAAGGCAGGAATGAAATGTCCTATGTTTTATTAAATTAATACTTTATCTTGAGGGTATGGTATATTTGGGGGCCTTATATCTGTATCACTGGAACCCCCTTCCTTCCTTTTTCCACTTAAAATTGTTTTCATCCATGACATCTTCATTTGATGCCATATTGTTTGACTGTTTCTAGAATATTACCTTTTCTACTATTGTTTATATACTCTAAGACTTTGAAATGACAATTTATTAAGCAGTGGCATAAAAATGTGAGCATGGTGGTTACATTTTTTGAGCAAGATGGAGATGATAATACTTTTCTAAAAATTTGTTTTTCTCAATTCCTCCACTTCCTTAAATCCCTGATTTCAAGTTTCTGTTGCATCATTTTAACCGCCTTTTCGGTTCCTCCACATTAGCTGCTGAAGTAGGAAACCTTCAACAAGAGACTCTTTAGCTATTATCTACAATAATAGCCAAATTCCTCACCCTATGATTTGTTATCTTCAAAGACTGTAATTTACTAAATTTCAGAGATCAAAGTTACATTAATGTGTACATATATGTGCATATACATATATAAAAGAAAGAGCATTGACTTATTCTGTGATTGTAATAAAATTTAAATCTTTAAGATTCACATTTTATATTTGAATAGTGCTTTTGGAAATCACCAGTTTTATTGGATATTTGGAATAGGAAGGGTAGCCAATTTAATTTATTGTACAGCATTTAGGTTATCAGCTATATATGAAATTTTCAATGTGTACATATCTTAGATGATGAGCTTTTTAAGACATCTAACAGAAAGAAATAGCCCATTCTGATTGTGAATTTGGCACAAATTCTAGTTTGGTGGCATTAGTTGGTATTTGTCACAGCAAATACACACTTCTAATTCATTACCCTTCGGGTGGTAGAATAAAAAAGCAGAATTTTGAGGTCATGTTTACTAATGGCCAAAAAAAAAAAAAAAAGATAAGTACTTTAAGTTTGTAGTTGTAGAGGCACAGTTATTAGTGAAGGTGTCCTGTAATAATTTACACCATAGAAATATACAAATATAATTTACATGTTTTGAACAAAAATTACAGTGGTATATAAATATATGTCTACAGAATGCATAATTATATTTTAAACAATAAACTAGAACTTGAAATTACTACCTTACAATTATTCAGAAATTGTAAGCAATTTAAGAAATGTAAACGATTAGATTTTAGAAGTGCCTTTTTAATTAAGTAGTTTATTCAACATAGCATTAAAAGAGCAGGTATATTAACATTTGTATATACAGTTTTTAATACTAAAGGTAAAAGTTAGTCATTTTAAAATACCGTACAGAGTGATATCAAGAATTAAGTATGGAAAACTTACCCAACAGAAAATGTTGATTTGGCATAGTTCAATACTATGCTGGTATGTAATGGAAACATTTTAAAAGAAGGCTGAAAGTAGTTGGGATTGTGTTACAAAGCACACAATTAAAATGTTGCTTTCAGCATATTAGTCTTTCTGATAACTTTTTTTTTAAACTGGGTTTAGCAATGAAAGTTTGCTGTACTACTCAAAGTGAGGAAGGAAATAAAAGAATCACAAGAAGAGCTAAAATTTCGAAATGTTCTCTTCATTAACATTAGTGGTTTTCTCCTTTTTTTGGCATAGGTCAGGCTTTTAGTTTTGTGTTCAATATGATATCATTTATGTATTTTATATTTAACAAATGTGTATATTTTCCCCTTGTTATTAGTATGAAATTGATCTTAATATAAAAATGTTTAAGTTGTGTATGTCTCCTGTGTTCTGCTGTGCTTTGAGTGTGACAAAAGGCACATTGCCATAAACTTGATCTTTTTAAACCTGATCTAAATTGCTCTAGGAAAGCTAGACTTTTCATTGCATATTAATTGCACAATATTTCTACAAAATTATTGGGTATTTTCTTGTTTTAGTAGGAAGAAATATTAAGGCCTTTAGAATCTTTGCTAGAAATAGTCCATGCTTATATGACAACTTTATTATCTTAACATTTCTAGAATAGATCTTATAAAACATGAATCACCTCCTGAAAATGGTCACCAATATTTATTAATATTATTTTGAAAACCCAGTGTTTTTCTTTAGATTTAAGGTTTAGATTTGTGAAGAGGTTAACATGTTTAAAATTACCTGTGCTAAAAGTATAAGTAAATTATTTTATATATTCCAATATATGTTTCTTAATCATTTTAAACTAAGTGGAATAGTATAGTATAGTATAGGCAGGGTTTATGTAAAGTTGTGTCCTTTTCTGACAGGTTTTTTTATGATGTACATCTACACAAAGTTGTTTATTTTTTAGATAAACTCTTATGCAGATGCAACTGCATTAATCTCATTGTTCCTGAATAAGAAATTCTGGATTTTATTTTTGTGGTGGAATTTTTAGATTGGATATTACATTGCAGAAAACTTGGCTTTTTATCTGATAACTACATGAATAAGGACCCAAAAATCGGTCATTAAATTTCACATACAAAAAAACCAACATCATATAGTTTTTCATTTGTCAATAAAAATGCAGAAATACAGTTAATTTATTGGGTGAATCTTTAGGGGGAGCTCATGGCAAATCAACATTCAGGTAAACTCATCCATGTTATTTTTCATAACAGAATGTTATAGCTAACTCGTAGCCTCAGATTTTTCTGTAGGTTCAAATGCTGTAGTTATTAGAACACGTTTTTCCTGCCCCCACAGGAAAGATAAATCTCCCTGAGATTGATCTTGGTTTCCAGTTTAAATTTTTTTAGAAGAGTCTGTCAGTTTTAACATCTACATTTGTGTTGCTTGGCTTCAGCAAAGATGCTCAACCATGGGCTTAGGGAGTTGAGTTCTAAGTTTGGAAGTTGAGTTACAAGTTGAGCCACTGACTTTCAAAGGAAGGGCCTCCCCGGATCTCCGTTCATCTGTCCCTTGGAGAGGATCATACTGCCTGCCACCCTCACAGGAGTGTTGTGCAGCTTAGCTAATTAATGTTTGTCAGGACATTTGAGATCCTCAGATGCAGAGTGCTAGATAAGTGGAAATAGTCTGATTATTTGTTCATTTTGTGAGTGTGATACCAGGACAGTACAATGCGAATGTTATTTCCCCTTTTCTTCAGCGGCGTTAAATTTATAGTTCAAAGATTGTTGATACCGGACAGACTATTGAGATGCAAAAATGTTCTTTTGGGGACAGTCCATTGGCAGCCAAACAGACATTTAAACAAGTGACAATGTTGAATGCCTTTATAACCACTGACAGAAGACTGCAGGAGCTTTTTTAAACTAAAGATGGTCTGAAGTGAAAAGTGGTATTCGATATTTTGCTGTATATTTAATTAAAATGAAAACAGAATTCCAATTATCATAGCAGTAGCATTGACTTAACATAATATTTATGTACATAACTGTTTTTCTCACTTGGTTTTAACTTTTACATGTGCATATGTAAAATACCAAAGAGATCAGACTATATCAGGAAAAATGGGAAGTATGTACCTCTGTTAACACTGGTTATGAAGCTGTGACTTTAGGCCCTGTCGATAGTTTCTCTT